TTTTTTTTTAATAAAATAGTGTAATAAAATTCCCTGCAAAAACTCTTTTTTTTTGGCACAAAACTCAACATGTTTAACACTATGAAAAAAAAGTTGTTTACACTCCAGCGAAATACATATACTGAATTTCAAGCTTCCTTACAGATGCGCCACCATCTTAAACTACACGCATGCAGTTCTGGTAAAGCCATCTGTAGGAAAACAGCGAGAACTTATTCAAGGTCAAAATATTAAAATTATGGAAAATTCCTTAAGATACCATAGCTGATATTTTTGATTTTAGATACAATAGAGCCTCGATTATCCGGATTGTTCAAAATAAACAAAAATTTTACGAATTTGCTGATTTGCACTTGGCGAATTGCAATACTGTTTATGTATGTGATGGAATGCATAACTATTTTTGTTCCAACAACGTCTCACCTGGCACAGTGGTCGTAAACTTTTTAATACATTTTGCATCGTAATAAAAATATAATTTGACATACATATTTATAAATAATTTACATTCAAATTACATCATTTCTATGGCCAAGAGCAGCATAAGGCATGGGTGATGTGGCCCACTGCCTACAGTCTCACAGTAAGAGGAGCCTCATGCTTCAAAGGTTTATGCATTACTGTACTTAAAAGCCATGAACGCAACAAAAAAGTTTACTCGTCATAAAACGATAGTTTGCATTTTTATGAATAAAAATTTGAGTTTCAACTGCTTTTTATTTTATAAAATCTGTCTTCTTGCACCACCAGAGGGCCTTTAAACAACAGGCAGTGTGTTAGTGCTGGTCAGTAGTAATGTAGTCCAAATTTAATACAAACATTTGCTTCTTGAAAATTTCATCACGATTTAAATACAGTGTTTATTTTTAATATTACCGATATGTCATTGAAAAGAAAACATGTTGTATTATCATTAAAAGACAAATTGGATATAATCAATGCTTTGAAACGTGAGTCTGGACGTTCTTTATCTAATAAATATGGTGTTGGAACATCAACGATCTCAGATATAAAAAACAAAGTGAAAAAATTATGAAGTTTACTGATTGTTTAATGTCAGAAGATGGAACATCAGAGCGTAAAGTTATGAAAAAATCAAGAAATGAAGAAGTTGAAGAGTGTTTGTTTATGTGGTTCATACAAAGATCATGTGGCCAGCCAATATATGGTCCATTATTGTGTGAAAAAGCAATATTTTTCAATACAAAATTAAATGGAGATCCCACCTTCAAAGCAAGTTCGGGCTGGGTAGAAAAATTCAAAAGACGACATGGTATCAGGGAACTTGAAGTTCATGGGGAAAAGCTGTCTGCTGACATACCTTCAGCAAACACTTTCATTGACACATTGAAGGAGTTCGTGGAGAAGGAAGGATTTGACGAAGAATTTATTTACAATGCTGACGAGACCGGTTTAAATTGGAAACAACTACCCAACAAATCTTTAGCATCAAGGCGTGAAAATACTGCACCAGAGTACAAAACTAGTAAAGAACGTGTCACCATTATGGTGTGTGCCAATGCAACAGGCAGACACAGACTCCCACTGCTTGTCATTGGGAAATCAAAGAACCCCAGATGCTTTAAAAATATCAGAAGTCTTCCGGTTGAATATGACCATCAGAAAAAAGCCTGGACAAATGAATAAATTTTTAAATGATGGTATGAAAAGCAATTCATTCCAGAAGTGAAAAAATGTCAAAACTCCATAGATAAAAGAGGAAAAACATTATTATTACTAGACAATGCACCGTCCCACCCATCTATAGAATATTTAAACCAGATTGTTAAAATGTTCACGGTAAAATTTCTTCCACCAAATGTCGCATCAGTAATACAACCGATGGATCAGGGTGTGATAGAAACAGTAAAACGCTTGTATAGAAAACAGATGCTTCGACGATTATTGCTAGCAGACGAAAATAACGAAGAAACCAGTTATCAGCTTCCATAAGAAAATAAATTTAAAAGACTGTTGCTACATGGCAGCAGAGAGTTGGAATTCTATAGATGTATCAACTTTGAGAAAATCATGGAATAAAATTTTGAAAAGACCATTAGAAAATTCCAGTAACACAGTAGAAAACACAGTAGAAAGTGGTATAGCAGTGGCGTGCCATGACATTTGATAGTAGGGAAGCTGTGTTTCTGTAAGAAGCCGACTTCCAGGGGCAATCAGATAATGCACGTCACTGATGGTCAAGGGTTAATTCGTATCGTTTGTTCGATAAGCCAGTAAAAACCGTAGATTTCTCTAAATGTATTTTTAATATCACAATTACATTCTTAATTGCTAGCCACAATATAAGGGCTAAAATTATAAATAAAATAATAAAAACTTACTTGGTGAAATAAAAAGTGTGGTGGATGTACAGTACATACCTGGTACAAAATATTCTTCAATTATATTAATATACTTTTAAAGAAAACTATAATTAAATATAGCTTTGTAAAGAAACATACATAAAAATAACATAAAATCTTCTTTACTTTTTAAATCTTAAAACAATCCACTTATTCAAATAGCTCCCTACGAGTGATTAATGGATGGAATCAGCAATGGTACTGGTAGGTGCAAGCACATGGGCTGCCAAATCCCGAGGGTGCTGATATCGGTCAATGCCAAATGTTTCTTTTGTCGCATCACTAGTATACCTCAAAGGACGCAACAGGGTTGTTGTATGTACATTTTAAACATTTCTCACCATAGCTGTAAAAATCTAAATATGTTAAACTTAATAGAATGTCCATCATTTGTTTTAGGACCACGGTCCACGGAAATTTCCAAAATTTACAACTTTTCGGTTACTGTCATTGAACTGGAAAAATTTCTCTCTATTACATCTAATATTACAAAGAAATCAGTCTCCACTGTACTTGGCTAGAGATTGGTTCGGTTAAGCAAAATTTCAGCTCTTTCATCAGGGTTTTGTTTATGTCCCCAATTCCCTAATCGCTTAATTATTTAACTTCTTCTTAAGTAGAAATAAGTCGAAACCGGTTACTTTGTACTCGAATATTTGTAGTCTCAGGAAAAAAATGGAAAGACAAAACAAATTTTTATGACAAATGGATACATAAATCGTAAATTTAAGGAAAATAAATTCTAGAGCTTTTTCTGTACCTCTCTCATTCATTAAATTTAATTGTAAATGGCGCTGCCAAAGTAACAGTTAATTTTTTAACATTATACAAGAATTGTACACATTTTTTTCTACATCCCCTTAAAGATGGGATATACGAAATCATAATATCACTGGTTTAACATTGAAATCCACAAGTAATATAAAATCAGAGAGCGGAATAAAAATATCAAATATTTTAATGGATTTTTTTAAACTCCTGTCAACTATACAGAAATAAAAATGCACACAGAACTATCATAAAAACGTACCAGTAAATTCTTATCGGTTGGGTTAAGTTATAAATCTACTTGTGATTCACATAATGAGGCGAGGGCAGCCAACAGCCCAGAACTGGTCCTGGATAGAATTGGATGCGGTATATGTTTAGCTTCCACCAGCTAAACCGGGTGAGGTTGGTGCTCTGTAGAGCGCATGCGTGAATCTGGCTTTTTGGATGCTGACAATACGAGCACTTCCACTCCGCCACTAATATTCAAATATACAATAGCAATCTTATCTTTTTTTTCACGTGTAGTATAGAAATTTGTAATAAGATACATAATGCAGTTATAATAAAATATTGTGTGATTATTTTCATATAATTAAAATTAATATGTATTTATTTTTTAGAAAATACAAGGGAAGCGGCTTCCACTGCTTCCAATGACGGCACGCCACTGTGGTACAGGAGACATTGCATTAGTAATAACACAAATTTCAATATGTGCTGAATGTAATGAAGAAGATGTAACTGAGTGGTTAAATTGCAATGGATCCTGGATTCCAAATTTTGAATGAAGAGGAAATAATTCAAGAAATATCTGTCTCAGATGAACAAGATCGAGAAGACGAAGAAGAGATTTGCGAAGTAAGAGATATTGGTCCAACACATTCTGAATGTTTAGATGTCGCCATGAAGTGATTTGAGAGCCAAGAAGAGTGTAACTCAGGACAACTTATATGTCTTAAAAATATTCACGATTTAGCAGCTTCAACAAGAATTGCTGGCTTTAAACAAAAATTGGCAATTGGATTTCTTAATAAAAAATAATTTAATAATATTGAAGCTACAGTACATGTCTTTCACTGTCAATTATTATTATTTTCGATTATCCAGATTTTTCCTTATCTGGACTACCTTCCTCCCCAATTAGTCCGGATAATCAAGTATTTGGTCATAACACATTTATAAATGAAGTAGATCATGATATTTAATATTTAATATAAATTTAATAATGATAAAGCCACTGTGCATTTACATTGTATTATTTATAATATAGATGCACAGTGGCTTTTTAATCACTTTATAGATACAAAGAGATTTTTTGGAAATACAGTAGAGCATCAATTATCTGAATCAATTGGGGACCGGGGTTGTTCAGAAAATTGATTTTTCGGATAACCAATTATGTACGAAAAAATATATTAAGCTATCCCATGTTGAAATTCATTCAAATCCTGGCACGTCCTTAAGTACCTTCTCATGGTTGCGCTAGTGCTGCCAGCTAAAATACACACACACCATACAACAAAAATAATATTGGAGTAGCCCAAGACATAGCCAAAGATTGCAGCGCCACAGCACTACCAGAAATTTAAATTTGCCAACTGGAAAGCTTTCAGTTGATTGACATTCAGATAATTGATGCTCTACTGTACAAATATATTATATAAGAAATTATTCCATGCTACTTTCTCTAGTACAGAAAAATTCAAAAAATGCATTAGTATTTTTGAGCTAAACAGCACATCTTTAGAGATAGTACAAAGATGAAATCTGAACAAATCACAAAATTTCAACAGCAAGAATTTGAATGAAATAAAGGTAATTAACCTAAAATTTTACAAGCTGTATTTATAATTAATAAAATTATACCTGTGATAATATTACACTTAATCTTCCTTTGAGCTGGAGCAACTTTTGAAAACTCTCACTCCTGGATGCTAGAAGATGACTAACTGGTGTAAGCAAATCTTCTAATTCTTGGCACTACATAATTAAAAATTTAATTTATAAATTGAAAATAAATTGTTTGCAAATAACAATCTTTCCAAAAACATATTGTTTTAATTTATTGCTTTCTACATTTAAGAATTTAAATAATGAGTTAAAAATGGCAAATAAATTTTCAGAAATGTATTTTTTAAAAGTTTGTTCTTTACAATAAAAATTCAAATTTATTCTTTGCATATGTTAATTCAAAATAAAACACTATTTAAGAAAAGTACATTATTGATTGTTAGTGAACAAATAATTTATTCAAGTAATCAAAATTTTATGATTTATTACTACTAGTTTAATTTTATAAAAAGATAAAGATATATATTGTACATAATTTGTTGTGCAATCCTTTACCAATCCTAAAAATTATAAAGTACTAAAATTAAACATGCAAATTCAGCAAATAGAATAAAATAGAATACAGTCATACCCCGACTTATGCGAACCCGGAGTTACGCGATTTTCAAATCTCGTCGATTCGTCTTTTGTTTGAGCGCCACACAACTCTTGATTATTCACTACCCCCCACACTAATGTTTAGCTTACTGGTTCGGATGTGTCGTGCAGAATCGACACATAGCTACAATTTATTTTGTCTAATTTATTTCTGTTTGTTATATCTACGGAGACTTGAGAGACTCTATGTGATGATTTCTTGTAACCGTGAACGAACCAAAAGGCGAGATAAGATTAACGAGAACATTTATTAGCTTACATACATTTGACTTGGATTTTACACAAAAGGCATCTGCAATCGTGAACAATTGACGAAAAAAGTATACATTTATCAGATAATAAACAAAGACTCATTTTGTAAACAATTTACCTTTTGTATATACAACTGACAAGATTACCTTTCAAATTATAAACAGACTCGATCCCAAGCGGTCTTTTGATAGTCGGACATGCAAAAGAAATGAATAGATGGCGCCTAACTTAAGCGCGGTTTACAATAACGAATATGATTAATATTAACACTCTACTATGTCATCCAAACAAAGTAGAACTGATTCTTCTGCATCAAACAAGAAAAGAAAAACTTTATCTTTGGAATGTAAAGTTAACATTATTAAAGACTTCGATACAAAAATGAAAATTTGTGAATTGGCAAAGAAGTTTGATCTACCGGAATCGACGGTCAGAACAATTATAAAAGGCAAAGAAAA